TTGTTATCTATATTTCCAGATATTTTATGGATAGTACTAAAAAAAAAATAATGTCATAAGAATTTCTCTCAATTGACTGTAACATCATATTTCATCAATTTGAAGTTGTGGCTTTTTGTTTGTTCTGGTATTTTTAATAAACTTTCATTTTGGAAAAAATTTGCTTTTCATAAAAGTTGCAAAGATACTATAAAGAATTCCTATATAACCTTGACCCAGATTCCCCCGCTGTGCACACATTACACTGTTGTGGTATGTTTGTGCAAACCAAGAAACTGACATTCGTACATTACCATTAACTATTCTCCAAGCTGAATTTGGATTCTACTGGTTTTTCCTTACGAATGTCCTAGTTTCGTTTCAGGATTCAATCTAGAATCCTACATTGTATTTAATTGTCGCATGTCCCAGGCTCTTTTGGCCAATGACAAAGCCTCAGTCATTCATCGTTTTTTAAGATCCTGACAGTGCTGAGGAATATAGCTGGGGGATGCTTATTTATTTTAATGTATAATTTCTTTATATTTTACATCACTGCTCACTTTTGTACAATGTTTGCTTTTTCTCAGGTGTCGTCCCACAGAATTCCCACCACCAATTCGTCCGTGCACCATCTCCATAGTCCCTTGTGCTCTTCCCACCCTCATTTTGATCCCTTTCCCTCCCCTGCGCTGCAGAATGACTCTGAGTTATAGTTGTCTGGTTTTGTTTGTTTTGTTTTTCCCTTGATCCGCTATATTCCTCCTAAAAGTGAAACCATCTGGTATTTTTCTTTTTCCTTCTGAGCATAGATCCCTTTAGCTCCATCTATGTTGCTGTGAATGGCATTAGTTTATCTTTTGATTGCCAAATAGTATTCCATTGTGTAAATATACCACAGAAGATGTGGTTTCTTAACAAATATTCTAGTATCTCTGAAATAGGAAATATGTTTTATAATCCATGGCATGTCACAATTGCTGTTGGTTATTTTTTTAGATTAACCTCTTAATTCAGGGTGCATCTTAAATGGTTAGCACCTCCAATTTAATACAAGAGTATTTTTATCCCTAATTTCATGGTTATTCTTGCTTATCTAATAATGAGGCCTGTGTGTGCATGTAAACACAATGCTTTCCTACATGTATCCCTTTGAGTGTTAAGGTCATTATAAGCTGAGGTTATCACATCCCTGGGGATGCCCTGAGTGGTCCCAGAGACCACTATGAGTGGGTGGCTCATTAGTAAACTGTAGGATGGGATCATATATACTAACCCTATTAAGTGAGCAGATGTGACAGAGGGAAAGGCAGTGAGGGAGATGCCCTGTGGGGCACCTCTCCTCTGGGATTGCTCTCTAAGCTGTTCTTAAAGCTCTCTGCCCTCAGAGCTGAAAAGGCAATCACCTGCAACTATCTACAAGTCTCTCTTCTGCAGGCCCAATGAACCACCCCAGCTGGCTCACGATGTGAGGAGCCGCCCATCTGCCAGTCTCAGCCAGGACCACAGTTCTGCCAGCAGGGGGTGGTGTGTGATCAAAGGCCCTTCAGTCCCGCACTGATGCCACTTACCTTCCTTCTACATCCTCCAGAGCAGTCCTGGCGGTGGAGGAACGCAGGGTAGTTGGCAGTGTGTTGGGGAGCACGGGGCTCCTTTCACTCTGGCTGGTAGCCTTGGGAGCTGGGGGTACCACGCCAGGTACTGGGGAGAAAAAAAGGACGGAAGTGGGCGATGGTCCAAGAGAGCACGGAGAGCTTGACAAAGCACTCTTTTAGCTGCTTAATTCTAGTCACCCTCATTAGCAAGCCTTCTCAACACTGCCATTAATGATTTGGTTTCCAACATTATTAGCTTCCAAGGAGCTAGATGTCCATATGGGCAAGAAGAGAGAATGATGTTGAGGCGGAATCAGAAGACCTGAAACTTTATTCTAGTTAATTCCAGAGGCCAGATGAATCCAGATCTGAGCTATTCCAAAGGCAGACTCACTCCCAGCCTCTCTGCTGAGGGGATCCCAGCCAGAAGGATGAAGCCAAGGCTGCTGATCCTCTGGTGTGCTATTCCGGGGGATGGGGTGGGGGGCTTCAGAACAACTCACCAAGGGAGCAGGGCCGGCCATCGGGCTCGTCAGGACAGGCGCACACGAAGTCTGAGGCTCTGGCAAAGCAGAGGTGGGTGCAGCCACCGTTGTTCACACCGCAGGCATTGGTCCCTGGGGGCAAAGCAGAGTATCTGGTGTGGGACAGAGTGAAGTTTTACAATGTGGTGCTTCTCAAAGAGCAGGAGATGCAGGGCTACCCCACTCCCAGGGTCAAAGGGCAGGAGGGGGCTGCAAAGACCTAAGAGTTTATGATGGGAAGCAAAAGACTCTCCTGTGGCTCTGATTGTCCCAGTCCCTGCTAGTCTTTGGGGTGAGCAGCCAACCCCACTGGGCAGGGGGCTCAACAGGCTCAGGGCCCAGCAGCCCACCTGTCTGCCTTTGAGGGGAGACGACAATGATATCCATGAGGCCTTCCACATTTGCCAACACTGTCTCCTTGTTCCGGCCTGAGTACTTGTCAACACGCTGGATTGACTTGGTCTGCCAGTCTGTCCAGTAGATCCACCGGTCCTGCTACTCAACAGAGTAACCCGGAAAAGAGAAAATATTACTCAACAGTCAGACTGGGGGCCAATGTGCATGCCTCGGCGTGGGCACCCCCAGGCCATGCCTGCTATTGCCTGGGAGGTCTCTCAATGCGTGCGACATCACCACTCTCTCCTTCTGCTGTTCTGTGTTGCGTCCTCACTTCTATAAGTGACACTGTGGCCATCAGTGTATACGTCTGTCTACCCTGCCAGGTTAAGTTCTTTACGGACAAGACTGTTCATTCACCTCTCATTTAGACCTGTTAGTGGTTCAGTGAGTAAAGGAGTTGCTATTCCCAGCAAATTAGGACTAAGTTAGGGGAGGAGTTCCCTGCTCTTCTGGACCTGTCACTGTCTCAATTCACAACTCCCGCTTATCTCTGTAGGCAGCTGCCTTCTCATGCAGGGAGGCCGAGGTTCTCAACCAGGTCTGGGGAGGGCTGTGAAGGCAGTTCAGAGGACCCATCAGCCACCCCAGCAGAGACTTGTAGATTGAAAACCATACTCGGTATCATCCTGCAGTTTGACCTCTGGTGTATGAAAATATATACATATCTATTACTGAATCAGACCAAACCTTATGAATGGGTAGGAGATAATGCAGAAGTGAGAGTGAATGCTTTGAAGAAAGGGAAAAGGATTTTTAAATAATTGAGGGAGAATCCCTGTTTTGGCTCTTAGATTTGTTCCATCTCCTTTTTCCCTTTCCCTGGTAATTTCACAGGGTCAGAAGGCTCCCACAGGACAGCTAGTACCAATGAAAAGTTAGAGCTAGCATGCACGGAGTGCCACACACTGCTTACGTGGCGTGTGTGGTTCGGGAGGAATGGTTTTCAAGCTCATTTATTGTGTAAGGAAGAGCAGCTTAGAGAAGTTCAGTGTCTTGTCTGAGTTGCAGTTACTTAATGTCGCAGACGAATGTGAAGCTAGGAGTTGGCATGCTGGAGGTCCTCAATACTTGAGGACCAGCTGGTGGGCGCAAAACAGTGGCTCCTGGCCAGTGCCCCCAAGGAGGTGCCAGGGCTCAGCTGCTGGGACCACTGCTTTAGGACCAATGGCACAACTTGCTAAAATGCACAACCCGGTCCAGCCCTCAAGAAGCAGATGTTCAAAATCCAAGGCTAAGGAGGCTTCATTTTAACAAGTTTCACAGCTGACTCCGTACACTCCTGTTTGAGAGTCACCCCCTCAAATGCTGGGAGTGCTGGGACGGGGGAACTGGGCACGTGGTAGCCAGGCTTTAGGATTCAGGAAACACCCCCAAATCAGCTTTGATAGCATGCTTGCTGAGTAGCAACTAGATTGACTCAGATCCCCAAGGAAACAACCCCATCAAGGAGGCTTAGCGACCTCTCTCCTGAGCCAGTACCTGAGTGAGTGCAAAGGGATGCGACACCTGGCTGACCAAGATCTGCCGGAGCTTCCCATTGAGGTCAGCACTCTCAATCCGGTCCAGGTGTGCATCGACCCAGTAGATCCTGTGAAGGAGAGCAGGAGGCTGCTCAAAACCCTTACCAGGGAGCCCACCCTTCTCCCCAACGAGCTATCTGTTCTGTCCTCAGCTGAGCTGGCAGCTCTGTGAGCAGCCAAGGGGCACCCCTGAGAAGCCGTTGAGTCCCCCAGCTGAAGGGGGAGAGGTGGAGGCTCTGGTGGGAGGAGGGAGCTGCTCTGAGGAGGGGTGGGCAATGCAGTGACTTCAGAGGAGCCACCACCCAACCTCATCTTCAGCAACCTGATGATCCTTTGACTCTAACCCAGGGTCTACACCTAACTTTTTTTTTTTCAATAAAGATTTGTTTATCCATGCATACAAGAACTGGGGTACAGGCCAGAGGACAGATGTACCAGGGGTGAAGGGATTCACCAGAGACAGAGTGGGGAGCAGGACAGGCAGATATACTGAAATACACTGCTGAGGGGAGCTGCAGGCAAGCCAGGAGAGGTCTGCTGCTCCACACAGGACAGCTCCCTGGCCGGGGATCGAACTTGGACTGCAGTGGCTGCAGATAACTTCACAGCGCTGCGCCTCAACTCCTTGCACCTCCAGGGAGGCGCTGCACCTAACTTCTCATGAATATTACAAATGGCACATCAGTCTACAAGGATCTCACAGCGGTGAAAGGAAGGTGTTCCCCTTGTCCGTTCCAACTCTGTACTTGACTTTGGTTCCCTTTTCTTTGAGGACAAAGAGGGCACTGGCTGCTTCAGCTACCCCTCACCCTCTTCTCTTGCCTATCGACACTTTTATTTAGATTAGCAGTTGGAAATTCCAAAGTCTAAAGAATTGGGAGAGTAATCAAGGCAAAGAGTCAGCCCTTAAGTGGATGGGGGCAGTGGGGACCAGTGGTTCAGGCACACAAACTCCTCCCCAACAGCTGAGGGCTGGACACGGCAACCCCAAGACTGTGTCCCTTCATCCTTCTCTTCTCCACCTATCAAGGAGCTTTCGGTCTTTGTTTTCACAACCTGAATCTCAAACCTTCTCTCTGTCTGTCCAGCCCCCTCCATCATCTTCTGCCCTCTCAGCTGCCAGGAGGGCACCAGGAACAGGACTCGTACCTGCGGGTGTCGTAGTCTAGGGTGAGGCCATTGGGCCACCCCAGCTCCGTGCTGATGAGAACCTTCCGCTCAGAGCCATCCAAGTTCGCCCGCTCAATCTTGGCTATGTGGCCCCAGTCTGTCCAGAAGAGGTATCTAAGACACAAAGGCCCGTCATCACCAAGTCATAGGAAGGTTGACACAAGCTATGCAACTTCTGTCGACCAACAAATTCCGGACGGAAGGGAAAAGCTCTGAAAAGTCATAATTTCCATTGTGCTCACTTATGTCACGACCTCCCTTTTTTGTATCATCGTAATATCAAAATATTCTGAGCAACCATCAGCTTCTATCTGGATTGCCTTAGCCTCATAAGGCAGCTGCCTGGCCCAAGCAATCGGGAAATTCCTCTGTCTCCTGAGACAAAAGGCAAGCCCCAAGACAGATAAGATCCTTAGGGCATAAAGACTCCTGGGAAGCTTCCTAGGGTTTTTGGAAACAAAAAGCAAATCTCAGATAAGACTCCTAGGGCATAAGACTCATGGACAATTTTCTAATCTTATTTACACCGGGGTTGCTTAATGCACAACTGAACAACTTCTTCTTAATTTATTCCTTCTAACTAATCACTAATTACTCTCTGCTAGCCTTAAATTACCCTTTCCTTAAACACTAACTACTCTCTGATAGCCTTAAGTTAGCCATTAGCTTTTCTTTAGACCATCACTGCATCACTGATGACTCTGCTAACACAATTTATTCCTTCCCTAAGACCCCTAACAATCCTTTGCTAACAGCTCATCCTTTCCCAGACCCCTCTTCCCTCGAGTTATAGTTAAACATCTATATACATGACAATTATCACAAATGTGTATAATTTAGTATACCATAAAGTGTCAGGAAGAAGATGCATTGTTCCCCTCTTCCTTAAGAATGTTTATGACAATTTATGGCGATTTCTCATTAACTTACCCTATGCATTACTGTAATAAACTACTTGCTACACAGTATAAATAAAGACCTGCTGAGAAAATGAGCAGGAAGACTTGCACCCAAGTCCAGCTCCCGTGTCTTTCTCACGCCCACTCCCCTTTCCCCCTTCTCGGAATCTCCACAGGCAAATGCCTTCCAGCCTATGGCCCTACATGCCTTGTTCACCTCCCCACCCCCCACACCCTGTTGGGGCTTGGCCCCCAACAGAAGGTGGCAGGCAGAGGCTGAAAGAACACAAATGGAAAGGGTTTCTCTTCCCCAGACCCAGCTTCCCTGGGCCTCTTTCCCACTGGCCATAACATACCCTTTCCTGGGGAAGACAGCAATGGCCCGAGGCTCATCCAGGCTGTTGTTGATCAGCACTTTGCGACAAGAACCATCTAGCCTCGATGCCTCAATGGTGTTTCGGCCCGTGTCTGTCCAGTAGAGGTTCCTGGCCACCCAGTCCACAGCCAGCCCATCGGTAGTCTTCAGCCCACGGCCGACCACTGTCTCCATGTTGCTGCCATTGAGATCTGCTCGCCTGCAAAAACAGCCGTGGGTTGGACAAGTGACCAGTGGTTTGAGCAACAGTGGGAAACCCCTTTGAGCCCTATTACCAAAACTGAACTTCATGTGGTGGAAAATGAGGACCTGTCAGTACATTCCTTGGTATCTAGCAGAGTAGGCATGTAAAACATTTGTAGAATTAATGAACAATTCTCTTGGGAGGACAGAGTGTCTCCTTCTGTGAAGAGTTTTCACCCCTGTCTTGCCAAAAGGCAGGTTAGGAATTCTGCAGGCACCTTAGAGAAGTAGCAAGGCTTGCTTGGGGGTGCTTATAAGAAAGGTAAACTGGGACAAATTTACCTGCACTTATTTACCGCAGTCCTACACCAGGGAAATCGATCTCGGGCTTGGGGGTAAGTCACAACCTCTGAACAAATTTTCTGAGCTATATCTGCTCATCTGACCCCTGCACAAGCAGCTAACATGGGCCTCAGAATGAAGGGGAATGCCTGGTCCTTCTGTGTGAGAGTATCTAACATGGTAAACCCTTCTTTGGGCGTTACACGTCTCAGTTGAGTCGGGGTAAAACACTTTAAGAATATAAGTAAAATAAAAATATAAAAAATAAAGCAAAACCAAACCCAATCTCGTGAACAACCACAAGCCTTGGCATTTGGCCAGGGTTCCCGTACTATCTGGCATTTACAGCGTTAGCAATGTGGCCTAGCATCAGAGAGTCCTGGGGGAACCTGGGTGTGCCCACAGGTGATAGGGTAAGGCTTTATCTGCTTTGGTTGGTTTGTTTTCCCTGCTGGGCTTCTATACATCTTTAAATAAATGAATAAACACAAAAAATGGGCTGGAGTCTGCTTAAAGCAGTGACACTATACCACAAGAAGTCAGAAAGTCAGGATCATAACACACCATCAATTGCCAAGTGGCTCCGCCCAGTAAAGCCACAGAGACCATAACCTCACCCAGCAGGGTCAGAGGCAGGTCTGTGCCCCCGGAGGCCTCAGGGAGGCTCATACCTGATAACATCCAGGAACACATCTGTGTAATAGACCTTCCCTTCCACACTGTCGTAGTCCAGGGAAATGACATTGTTGAGCTCTGGGACAGGGATGTGCACGTCCGTGTGATCACTGGTATCCAGCGAGATCCGCCGGATGGAGCCACGGCTGGAGAAGAGCAGGTAGATCTCAGGAGAGGGGTCGCAGGTCTTCCCATCGCCCTTCAGCTGGATGCCAGTGGGGCATGCGCAGGAGAAGCCAGAGGGCCGAGGCAAGCAGAGGTGGGAGCAGCCGCCATTCCTCACACCGCACTTGTTAAAACCTGGCAACGAGAGAGAGTGAAGCAGGAGCTGGACACCTAGACTTGAATACTGGCTCAGTCTTACGATGGCTCTGGTTTCTGGTGCCTGCCTATCTGCTATTCTGAATGGCAGGATTCAGAGGCTGGCAGGGGTGAAGCAGACAGCTGAGTGCTTGGACAGTGACAGCATCATGTGGGGATTGTACTAGCTGACCAGAGGGACCTCTGATCCTGGAATGGGGTTGAGGTTAAGTCCAGGGCGCTCTGATTGGAAAGGGAGCTCTGTGCTCTGGATATACCCTGGGGGCTGAGACGCTCCTAGCAAGCCACAGGCTCTGGCTCCCAGCCTGAGGGCTTCTTCTCACCCAGTGGCTGTGTCCGGTCCACAGCCTGGATGTCCATGAGGCCTGGGAGGTTGGACCTCACCAGGATGACATTGCTGCCAGTACCCTTATCAGCACGATGGATGCTGCGTGTCTGCCAGTCAGTCCAGTAGATATAGTTGTCGAGCAGGGTGAGGCCATATGGGTGCTGCACAGGTGACACCAGTGTGTGCCGATGGGCACCGTTCAGGTCCGCGGCCTCAATTCGCTGCAGAGGGAAGGGGGGGGGCGGCTGTCAGCAGATTAGTGGCCCTCAGTAGAGCTTCCAAACAGGCCTCTCTGATCGTCCCAGGATCCCAGGAGGCAGCAGGGGGTGGACTATCACCTCTGTGTGAGCATCAGCCCAGAGCAGCTGAGCGCTGGCCTTGTCCACGGTCAGTCCATTGGGCCATCCAAGGTTGTTGTTGATGAGCACAGTCCGGTCCGAGCCATCCATTCCTGACCGTTCTAACTTGGCGTTCTCCCCCCAGTCTGTCCAGTACATGAACCTGGGCAAGAAAGAGGACTCACTGGGTCCTCCCACAGCTGCTGCAGCTGGTGGGTATTTGCAACTCGCCAAACACTGCAAAGTATTTTACGTGAAAAAAGGTAGTTGTTGTTTAAGGGTGCAAGAGTTCCAGAAGAAAAGTTCTGGAAGGCCATTTCACAACATGAATATACTTAAAGCCACTGAAGAGTACTTAAAAGTGGTTAAGATGGTAAATTTTATGTTTTGTTTTTTACAATGAGAATAGCAAAATTTCCTTCTGTGCATTCTCTTTCTTAACCTTCACAAGGGCCACGAGGTTTGCATTTTCACTGTCAATCCTATTTTACAGGGTAAGAAAGCGGAGGATCAGAGGAAGGTTGAATCCTGGACCCAAAGTGTTAGCATCACCTAATTTGTGGCGAGGGAACTTGAATCTTGGATTTCCGACCCCCAGACTCATGCTTTCAGCCTGAGCTAAGCTGTCACTAGGAGTGGGACATTCCAGGAGCTCAGGCTATGTATCTGAAGCACGCTGGCTCTCCACTGCCCCTTTACCTCATCCACAGCCCCAGCCCGGCTGGCCCATCCTCCTTCCTGCTCCACGGAGCAGGCTCTCACCCCATCTCGTGGTACAGGACAATGGCCCGGGGGCTGTCGAGGTTCTGCCACACCAGCACTTTCCGCATGGACCCATCCAGGTTGCCCACTTCAATCCGGTTGGTGCCGGTGTCTGTCCAGTATACTTTGCGGCCAATGGCATCCACTGCGAGCCCATCTGTGGTCTGCAGCCCTGCAGGAAGTCAAGAAGCACACTGGCTCCTGCCTTTAAGCAGATGGACTATTTCCCCAGCTCTGGAGCCAGACAGGTGGCCCTGGGCTGGGAGGAAGGCCCACCTGTGGTGATGATGTCCTCATGCAGCGAGCCATCCAGATTGGCACGGCTGATCCTGTGCAGCGTGCTGTCTGACCAGTACACTTTTCCTGGAAACAGAAGGCTGGCTAAGCCTGGACCCCTGCCTCCCGCAAAGGGACAGACACAGTAGACTCACGCCCTACAGGTTTGGGCAACCCCTAACTCAGGAAACTGGATGTGACATGGAAAGAGCCTAATAGGACAGCTCTTGGCAGAGATGGGGAGGAAGGCCCTGAACCATGCCTCAAAGAGAAAAAAGTGCTGCAGAGACGGGGGCAAGGGCTTTCCAGAAGGTTCCAGGAGCCCCAGGCTCTTAGCAGGAGGCAGAGGTGGTAGGGAAGGAGGCAGGCAGGGTCAGAGGCAGGTGGGACAGGGGCGCACAGACCTTCCTGGGGGTCCACTCCGATGGCAATGGTGTTCTTCATGGTGATGTTGACCGGGACCACCACATCAGCAAAGTAAGGGATGTCTAAGGAGACCATTCGTATGTCTATCCTCCTGGCGAAGATGAGGAAACTGTTCATGCCTGCCCGGGGGAGGGGGAGGAAAGAGGACAGTCACTCTAGCCCGGCCTTAACGAGGAGGTGGGGGAAGCCAAACTCAGGTTCTCGACCCGGGTCCGTGAGTTTCTGGTTGCATGATTGGGTGCAAATGATTTAAATTATTTAAGCTTCAGGGTTTTAAAATTAATTAATTAATTAATTAATTATTATATATACTTTTACATGATTTCCCATTTTGTACAATGTATGCTTTATCATCTTGGTTACAGTCACTGTGAAATTCCCACCACCCATTCAAGTGCACCATCACCATAGTCCCTTGTTTTGATCCTACTCCCTGTTTTGATCCTACTCCCCAGCCCTGTTTTGATCCTACTCCCCTCTACCCCACTGCAGAATGTCTCTGGTTTATAGTTGCCTATTGATTTTGATATTTACTTTACTATAATTACTTTGTTCCCCTGATCCCTTATTTGGATCCTCTACATTCCTCCTAAGAGGAATCATCCCATATTTTTCTCTTTCTTTTTTGCTTATTTCATTGAACATGATCCCTTCCAGCTCCATCCATGTTGCTGGGAATGGCATGAGTTTATCCTTTTTGATTACTGAGTAATGTTCCATTGTGTATATGTACCATATCTTCTTGATCCAGTCATATACTTTTGGGCATCTGATTGTTCCCATAGCTTACCTATTGTAAATAATGCTTCAATAAATATAGGCATGCATAAGCCTCAGTCTTATCATCTGTAAAGTGAGGACAGTGTCAGAGTAAATGGTAAAATTAAAAGCGCTCAGCTCCGGGGGTGGCATAGCCACAGATGCAGTGCTTTGTAGGCTGGCAGAGACTTCAAATGACTCTTCACCATCAAGTTCATGCTAAAGAGGCCTTTTCCCACAACCTGGGAGGACAGTGCAAGCTCCTTTCTCACCCAGATGCCCAGAAAGTTAGGCTTCGAATGAGCCTATGCAGCATCCCTGGAGACAAGCACATCATGGCCTGCTTCCGGGACCCTGCAACTAAGATGATCACAGACTGTGCTCTTTGCAAAAGTGCCACATCCCAGGGAGGGACCATTACCTTGCAGCTATCACACATTTTAATATTATATCGATTGGGCATGTAGGACTAACGTGACTTGTTCTAGCCAAATCAGTATATTACAACAATATTCCAACAGATGGAAGTAAAGTATCTGAGGAAGAGCATCTTTCTTCTAATATGCACGAAGACATGGCAAGAACTGGCTGGACCTGCCTCTGATCTTGTCCACTTACTCCCTCTGAGCACTTTCTCTTTTCTAAAAGCCTATGTCTACCCTAAGCCTCTGGATCACCAGGGCTTTCCAGACCACCATGGCGTCCACTTGCAGGGAAGGGGACCACACTGCCTCTCCTGGCGAGGTTCTGTGATGCTTACACTCACCTGGTGAACAGGTCTTGCCATCAGGCATCAGGTTGATGCCCGTGGGGCAGGTACAGCTGAAGCCGCTCGGAGCTGGGGACCGAAGACACAGGTGGCTGCAGCCGCCGTTCCCCACAGCACATGGCGTGGACACTGGGGAGAGAGGTGGGGGTCAGTAGGGAGCACTAATGCAGGAGATGGCCAAGGAGAAATCAGAGTGGACTGGAGGTTGCTCACCGGGGGGCCGCTGGCGGTGGAAGACGTGGATGTCCATAAGGTTCTCCAAATTCTCCTGCAGGGTCTCCCGATCTAGCCCCGTAAGTCGGTCGGCGCTCTGGATACTCTTGGTCTGCCAGTCAGTCCAGTAGATGCGCTCGCCATAGAGGGTCAGCCCAAAGGGGTGGGGGAGCTGGCTTCCGATCAGCACCTGCCGGGCCCCGGCACTTGTATCAGCCCCAGCTATGGCCGACAGGACAGAGTGGGGTCGACAGCTTGGGCTGGGAGCTGAACGCAGCTTTGCCATCACCATCTGCTGTGTGACCTTGAGCAAGAGCTTGGTATAAAATCTCTCTGCGCCCTGCAGTCCCTGGTGTGAGCACGACAGGGTCTGGACCCAAGGGCAGTCTGATGACTGATAGGATCATGCACTATTTCCATAAAACCTCACTGTGTCTCTGCACAAATCACTTTAATAGTAAAAAAGCAACTAGAGCAACTTTACAGTGGACAGCGCTTTGACACTGCCATAATGTTGTCATCGCCAAAATGAGACAAGCTGTCACTGGGCCTGCCGGTGTGAGACCCTGAGAAGTTCAGGACGAGGCACCCCACATGCGGTAGGTCCGTCCCAAACACTACATCTCATCACAAGGAAAAATTTGATGCATAGGGGGTTCTTTCCTAGATGATAATTGACATTTATCTTTTTCTTTTTTAAAAAAAAAAAGTGTTTACTTATTTGTGCATACAGAACTGGGGTATAAGCCAGAGGTGCAGGGGCGGTGAGAGGAGTCACCAGAGACAGAGTGGGGAGCAGAGCAGGCAGATCAGCGAGGTGCACTGCTGAGGAGAGCAGCAGGTGAGAAAGGAGAGGGGTCTGCCGTGCCATGTGGGTCACCTGGGGACAGGATCAAACTCGCACTGAAGCAGCTGCAGCTCACTTGCAGTGCTGTGTCCTAACCCATTGCACCACCAGGGAGGGCCCAACACTTCTCTTTTTCAATACAAAATATTTCAATCCCTAATTTCTTTTCATCGCCCAGCAGCAGGGTGTCTGTGCTCTCTGTACTCTGGAGGACTGTCACAGCCTCAGAGAAAGAGCACCTATGCCACACTGGGCCCTCCCAGACCCTGTCCATTGCCAGTCAGGGAGTGCTAGAGGGTGTCAGTGCTGGTGGGGGGAGGGGGGGAGTGCCTAAGCACCACCCTACCTTCCTCTTGCTGCCGTCCAGCCCAGCGAATTCAATGGTCTTCATGCCGGCATCAGCCCAGTACAGCCGTTGGGACCCATAGTCAATGGCTAGTCCGTTAGGCCAGGTCAGATTAGAAGAGATGATGACCTGGCGACCTGAGGCATCCATGCCAGCTCGCTCAATCTTGGGGCTGGCACCCCAGTCAGTCCAGTACATGTACCTGGGCACAGGTAAGGGAGGTCTTACAAGGCTTCCTGCCAATACCCAGCAGGGACTCTGGGTAAACCTCAGGGTTTCTGCTTGCAAGAGCTGCCTCAACCTCCTGTCTGAGGATTATTGGCATAATCCACTAAGGAGACACTGGAGCTATCTAACCAGCTGAACAAACTAAGTTATAAAACAGTATAAACCCAAAACCACCACCACCACCATCAATGAGTGTATATATATATATATATATATATATACACACACACACATGCATTGAGAAAAACCTGGAAATAAACCCTAAAAGGCTGATGGTAGTTATAGGGACTCTTGACTTTCTACAGGTTTGTTTTGAGGCATAGTTCTAGTTCTGTTTGGTAAGCAGAGTAATAATACCAATAAGAGAAGAAGAGCAAATTTAAAAAGATCCCTTGTCCATAGAGGAGACAGAGCGTCTCTATGCTCTAGGTTCCTACAGCTGCCCATGTGACTCCCGCTGCCCCCCCCCCCCCCGACCTCTCCAGCACTCAGATCTGAACCACAAATGGAGCCCATTCCAGAGGGGGAGCTGCTCACCCGCCCATGGGTTCCACTACGATGTCCCGGGGACGGTCAAGGTTCTCCCAGATGAGGACGGTCCTCATGCTGCCGTCTGGGTTTGCCACTTCAATCCGGTCCGTCCCTATCGAGAAACAGAAGTCAAAGATCTTCACTCTGGTCTCAGTCACTCCCTCTACCATGCCCAGTAGGGAGCATGGCAAGCAGTAGGTGCTCAAGAAATATTTTGTCCTTGATATAGAAGTGGACAGTGAACTTCAAGGAAGTGACCAGTGCCATCCTTCAAAGAGCAAGGCTTCTTGAACACAAGCAACTCACTCTGTCTCGTAACATTAGGAGGTTCTTCTCAGACTTCAGTATAGCACAAGGATCAGACAACATGCTCAAATAGATTCCTGAACTTAACCCACAAAGATTCTCCCTCAGCAGGACTGCAATAGGGCCCAAGAACTTGCATGTTTAACAAGTCCCAAGGTGATGCTGACACTGTTGGTCCAGGGACCACGCTTTGAGTAGCTCTGGCAGTGGCCTAGCTTCTCACATTCATCTGGTTAGTAGAAAACACGTATTTTACCAGGACAGTGATGGGAGGAAAATCCCAGGGCAGTTTTCTTATCTGAGGTGCCTCACGACATTCCCAAGCTTTAAGCTACACGGAAGAGGATGCTGCCATTTCATTGGCAAATGCCAAAGCCTCAAACCTTCAGCTCTGCAGCAGTCCCACCACTTCTGACCCATCCAGGACTTCGGGTCAAGAGGCAAGGGGTCGGAGGAGCACTGGGACCCTTCTACAGAGAACAGGGTTTTAAATGCAGAACCCCAGGATGCCAGGTCACGTCTGCTCTGTACATACCCGCATCTGTCCAGTACAGCTTGTTGGTGACCCAGTCAATGGCCAGGCCTGCTGGGCTCTCCAAACTGGTATCCACTACCACCTGGGCAGGAAGCAAAGCTGCATCATCAACTGAGCTTGCACCCCAGCTCTGGGGCCCAAACCACCAATTCTCAGGCTGGCAAAGGTAGAAGCCCTGACCCAGGAGAGGGTGGAGCCCACCCGCCACCTCTGCCCTCCCGCGGGCTGGGTCCGCAAGGGCCCTACCTCCTGTCCTGTTCCATCCCACTTGGCCCTACTGATGGTGTCAGTGCTGACGTCTGTCCAGTACACATGGTCATCCCGGGAGTCCCAGTCAAGGGCCACAGCACTGCGCACGTCAGCCAGTGGGATGACATCGTCGGACAGGTCCTCTGTGTCGAAGCTGATCCGACGGATGTCCATCCTTCGGGCAAAAAGCAGGAACTTGTCAAGACCTGATCAAAGGCCGAAAGGGGTCTGCTTTTAATGCTCTAAATCCAAGAACATGACAGACACAGATGCTCACCTGTGTGACATCTGGTTCAATCACACTTCCTGGGGCCTGGGACCCACCACCTGTGCCACCTCAGACCCGGGGGAACTGGCAACCCGTGCTGGCAGAATTGGATGTTAGGCCCAAATAGGCTCTACCCAGGGTCTCAGAGGCAGCCTGTGTGTCTGTCAGCTGTCACCTGCTCCTCTCCTCCAGGGCACTGGCTAGATCACCGTCAGCTCCACCAGGACCTCTCTGCCTTCCTGTCTGCTTCTGTGTCTGCTGCTCCACTCCCTCGCGAGACCCCTCCCTCTTGCGCCTTCTTGACGACACTGGCCAAGGAAGACTATTTAAGGAGCAGTTACTCCTTGCTAGGCCCCAGTTACTAAGCTGTTTTAAGTCTTGCTTTAAGCCGTAAGGGCTCTCACAGCAACACTTTGAGGTTCAGGTTTTTCTCATTTCATTTTCTAGATAAGCAACACTGAGACTAAGACTTGGTCAGTAAGTAGGGATCCCCTAGTTACAAACACCAAGTGGGGATCTGAGCTCAGGTCTGACACCGAGTGGGAGCTACGGCCCCTCCCCTGCACAGCTTCTTCCCAGCAAGCTCTTCCTAGCCCAGGCTCTGCTTCTGTCCCGTCCGAGTGTTTCCTAGAGCACTTCTCTACCTGGAAAGGCGCTCCCTGCCTACCCTGCCCAGCTCTCCTTTTAAGCTTAGGGAGCCCCATAAGGGAAGCCCCTCGGGAAGCCTCATGCATCTCAGGCAATAGGAGAGGCACCAGCACACCAGACAGCGCGGAACCAGGTTCTTAACAATGTTTGTGAGATGAATATCGCCCTTATTTCTCTGGGCAATTTCCCTAATCTCCCTCTTTGGAAAGGACCCAGGTTCTAAGAGAGGTTTGATTTTAACCAGGGATAAGAGGGCCACTGGGGACAGAGTAGTAAACCAGAGAAGCTGCTGAAGTGTGAGGAGTTGTCCCAGGCCCCTGGCTGGAGGTCTGGGCCTGGACCATTCTCTGGGCTCTTCTTAGGAAAAGTCACCTGTGACTCTGAGCTAGACAGAGCCACTCTCTCGAGCTGGTGCCCCTGGAGGAGCGCCAAAGAATCCAAAGTTACAGTTTGGGAAGCAAGCAAGGATTCCTGTTTACTCTTCAGTGTTTACTCTTTAGACACATCTGTGCTGGGTCTGAATTTACAAACATCAACCGAAGTTCTAAGCTTGGGTCTCTGGCTGGAAGAAAGTCTGTAAGAGGGTGAGATAAAGGTAAAGGGGAAGGAAAGCTTTTCCTACTTTCTAGCAACAGGGAACCCTCTTTCTGGAAGCCTCTTGCTGGCTACAGAGAAAGCATCCTGTGAAATGAGCTCAAGCCTGGTCACAGGCGAGCACCCTTGACTGGGTGCTTCGCTAAGCTTCAGCTACCTGCTGCTGAGCCCTCGGCCCTCAAATTTGATAGCGAGACCCTCAACCTCATAATTGGTCCCTGTTCGGGGGGTCCTGAGAAACCTGACTCTTCCCCATGACAGGCAGCTCCCCAAACTCCATCGCTTGCTGCCTCCACGGACCCTTACAAGGCACATCCCATTGAGGCAGGTGTCCCGACCACTTACTCTGGGCACAGGCGTGGCTGCTGATCTTGCGGAAGCCGGTGGGGCAGGCACAGGTGTAGTTCTGGCCACTGGGAAGACACAGGTGGGTGCAGCCTCCATTGTTGTCCCCACAGCGGTTTTTCCCTGCTCAAAGAGCCCAGAGCGAGAGGGTCACGAAAGAGCAAAGGTCGGCACAGGAGGCCCCAAGGTTAGTGAGTATGGGTTGAGCTACTATGTCAGCTCCCTAGAGGGAGGAACTGTGTCGTACTATTTTTTAGCTCCCAGCTGCAATGCAGGAGATACATGGCACACAGGTGATGCCCTGTACGTGCTGGTGTGAATTAGACCATGAGAGATGCTCACTGTCTTCATGGGTCAGATGCTGCACCGCCCTAAAGGTCCAGCAGAGGGCAGAATGAGCCCATGTCATAGCAGACCTCAAACTGTCCCCACCAGAAATAAGGGCAATTGTGACAGGTGCAGGAAAGATCTCAGAGGCACCAGCAGAGTCTCACCAGGAGGGAAGCTTTTTACCTGCAGGCTGGCGCTGGGGATGCAAGGTGTGGATGTCCATAGGGAAGTGGAGTTTGTTGCGAATGATCTCCTGGTTCTTGCCAGTAAATTTGTTGGCACTGTTGATGCTTTTGGTGTGCCAGTCTGTCCAGTACAGGCTGTCTTCAAACACCGTAATGGCAAAAGGATGTGGGAGGCCTGGGGAAAGTCCAGGAGGAACTCAGTCCCGACCGACATGGCCTGCCCTGGCCCTTGGGCCCAGGCCTGGCAATCGCACAAACCTCATCTTTGCCAATAATCTCGGGCCGGGACAGGGGATGGAGATAAGAAATGAAGGAGAGTGGATGCAGGGCCTCACCCTGGCTAATGACAGCCTTGCGATGACTCCCGTCCAGATTGGCCCTCTCGATGACATGATGCTTAGCATCCACCCAGTACATGCGGCGTCCGGCATAGTCAATGGTGAGGCCATTGGGCCAGAAGAGATGGGTGTCAGCAATGATGCGGCGCCCAGAGCCATCCATGCTGGAGGCCTCGATGCGGGGGGTGTTGCCCCAGTCTGTCCAGTATATGGTCCTAGGAAGAGAAAAGGCACCTGAGAGGCAGGCAGGCGGGTTGGTAATCAGGCAGGGGGCTTTTTTTTCATTAAACCAGGGAACTCCAGGCCCTCCCTGGTAGTAGAACAGGTTAGGACACAGCACTGCAAGCTGGTCGCAGCCACCTCAGTGCCAGTTCCATCCCTGGCCCCAGAGGTGACCCACATGGCACAGCTGACCTCTGCTGACCCACCCGCTGCTCCCCTCAGCAGTGTACTTCATCAGCCAGCCTGTTCTGCTCCCCACTTTGTCTCTGGTGAAGCCTCTCACTGCCCCTGCACCTCTGGCCTGTAACCAGTTCTGTATGCACAAATAAATAAATCTTAAGAAAAAAAAACACCAGGAAACTCCAACTGGTAGGAGACATATCCTGTTGGCCCATTGAGTGTTATTTAAATATTTGAATTCAAATGCCTCTAGATAGAGTGTTTATTCATAAAACAAATAAATTATTTTAGAGTATCTGCTATGGGCAGGGTGTGCACACAAGTACATACACACACTGACATACACAAAGTGTATTTTAAAATAACTGACCTATACCTGCGGGGTCTTAGAAGACACTCCCCCTCAATTACTGATTGCACTCACTGTTTAAGTCAGATGCTAAGGACTTCCACTTCAGGAGACTTCTAATAATAGTAATGATCACTGTTAATTTTTATTCTGCGCTAGTAATAAAAATTCTCAAACACCCACCCACCACTTAATCAGTGTGTAGCATGTCATTTAAAATGAGTCTCATTTCAGGTGAGTGAAGTGGGTGAGGGAGCTCAATAGGTACAAATTCCCAGTTGTAAAACAAATAAGTCACAAGATGTAATGTACAACATACAGTTAATTATACTTTTTTTTTGCACAATTGAAAGGTGCTAAGTGAGACTGTAGAAGTTCTAAACACAAGAAAAAATTGCAACTACTGCATGTTGAACGCTGGGGTAAGCACATGGAAGTGCAGGCAGGCTTCGTTTCCTTGCACTTTGCAGATATTGTATTTTTTAAAAGATTTACTTATTTATGCTTGCAAGATCTGGGGTGTAGGCCAAAGGTGTGGGGGGTGACAGGATTCACCAGAGACAGAGTGAGGAGCAGAACAGGCAGATGGACTGAAATCTACTGCTGAGGGGAGCAGCAGGTGGTACAGCAGAGGTCAGCTGTGCCATGTGGGTCAGCTCCCTGACTGGGGATGGAACGCCTGCCGACAGCTTCATAGTGCTGAGACTTACCCCCTTGGGCCACCAGGGAGGCCCAGACATTGTTTTTTTTTTTTAAACAAATGGAGGGGCTAGTGGCAACCTGAGTCAAGCAGGTCTCTTGATGCCACTTCTCCAACAGCCTATGCACATCTCACATCTGTGTCACATTTAATGAAGGTGTGTGCATTATCTCATTAGACCTAATGTTCTCATACACTCAATAGACCACAGAAAAGTGTAAATAAAACCTCGAATGTAAATAAGGCATCGAGAAACCAAAATCTTTGCGAGATTGGCTTTAGGGCAATAGTGGCTTTATGCCCGGGGTCTGGCATGGCACTGTGGTGCCAGCTCTGGGGCTGTGCCTGTGTATGTAAGTGCCAAGTCATCATCATGCCACGTGCCTGAAACTAGTAGAAAGTTATGTGTCAATTACAGCTCAATTTAATTACTGCACCCAATGTAATCTTCACTGAGCTCTCTGGTAGGTACTTTTTTTCTTAACCACCCATTTAGAAATGAGTAAACAGAGGCAGAGAGAGATGAACTAGCCTCAGGCCACACCACCGGTTACTGCAGAGCCAGGACTGGAATCCAGCAGTGCTTGCTGGCAGAGTCCACGCTGTCCTCACCACCCTGAGGATGCCTGCCATTTAGGGGGTCTGGATGGGCTGGGAACTGTCCCTCCAGGTTTCGAGAGGAATTTGGAAGCTTGAGCAACAACTCACCCTTCCATGGGGTGCAGGGCAATGGCACGGGGCTTCTCCAGGTTTTGCCACAGCAGCACCTTCCGGTGGGCCCCGTCCAGGTTGGCTACCTCGATCCTCGACGTCCCCGAGTCGGTCCAGTAGAGTTTGTCATGAACCCAGTCTACAGCCAGGCCACCTGGTAGAGAGAGGCATGTCCGCTCAGGCCCCTCTGAGCCAAACTCTTGCTCAAAGTGGCTTCCTGAGCCAGGTATGGTCTACCCTCTTCACATGTAGCCACTCAAGTCATTATCACAACCGCCTGGTAGCTGGGTACTATCACCCCCAAAAGATGAGAAACCCAAGCACAGAGAAGGCAGGGTCAGGCATCTCCTCACAGCCACTCATCTCCCACTGCTTGAGTTTTGGCTCCCGGGCCACAGCTTGGCCCCCTCTGTACTGGCTTGGGGTGCAGCAGTGCTGTGCAGAGTCACCCAGACACCCCATGAGCATTAGCGTCAGAAGCGTCCATGCCCAACCCTACCTACGTCACCTGCCCATCGAACAGCCTGAGGTTGCAGATGGAGCTGTGGGTTAGGCCTGTAACACTCAGCTGCATCACCCAGGTCCACGAGAATAGTCTTTATAACTATGCAATCAAATTCAGAATTTAGCTGGACACTAAAAGGCCAACAGAGAAGTGGCGCGGCCATCTGCCCATCTCTGATTTTGAATTGTTACCTCCAGGAAAAATGGTCCCCTGACTCTCACTGATTAAACGCAGTGAAAGGTGATTGTTACAATCTGAACCTATAACATTCTGAAAACAGACCAGTTTCAATCTGAGTTCTATCCAGGATCCCACTGGCCGAAAGGGGAACGGGCTGCCCCAGGCCGGCCGACCGCCGCGGGCTCCTGCACGTGTATGGCCCAGCCCTACCTGGGCTCTCCAGCCCCGTGGACACCACCTCCTCCACGTTGCTGCCATTGAGGTTGGCCCGGAGGATCCGGTCCAGGGTGACGTCCGACCAGAAGACTAGCTCGCGCCGGTGGTGGAAGTCGAGGGCGATGGCGTTCTCCAGGTTGTTGAGCAGCAGCGTGTACTCGGAGCGGTGCGGCAGCACCTGCCGGATGTCGATGCGGTTGGCGAACAGCAGCACGGGCTCCGGCCCTGGCAGAGAAACGAGCCCTGGTACCCACGGCAGCGCCCCAGCTCATCGCTGGCCGGCTAGGCCGTCCCGAGCCAGTGGCCTTGGCGTTAGAAGGGTGGGAGCCTGCAAGCTGAACTTGCCCGCCCCGTGCCACGGCACCCCAGCACGACTTTTCTTGGAGTTCAAAATGGAGCAACATGGGGCTCAAAGCTCCATTGTCCTGAGATACTCACTTCTAGGCCGCCCTGCAAAGCCCTGAGCACTGGGGCCCCTGGCTGTCTCCACCCGGTCCCCAGCCCACCAGGTGAACGCCCACACGCCTTACCCAGAGCCTTGCAGCTGCGCCGGTCAGGCCGGAGCTCGTAGCCTGCTTCACACCAGCACTGGAAAGCTCCTTCGCTGTTGCTGCAGCCCTGGCTACAGTACCCCTCCTCGGCACATTCATTCACATCTGCGAGGACCAGCTGGGTCAGGCGCCCCATCCTCCCTCCTCTGCTGCCATCCTCCCTCCCCAACTCCCGGGCTGACTAGCTGCTTTCTAGCCCACCACCCATCTTCTTTCCAGGCCTAGAACAAGGGGCCAAGGGCCTCAAGATCAGGCCAAGCTGGGCCAGAATCCCAGTTCTGTGACTCGCCTGCTCTGTGGCCTTCAATAATTATTTGACATCTCTGAGCTTCAGTTTCCTCATCTGTGAAATGGGAGGGATTACAAGCCCTCTTCCCAGGGTTACGCTGCTGCTGCTGAACCGGAGCCCATCGATCCATGGCCTGCCCCAGGGCCACACCGCTGTCTCTCAGCTGCCCCGGCCCAGCATCCTGGCCTGCCCCAAACCAGACCCCCGCTCACCCTGGCACAAGCGCCCGTCCTCGGTGAGCCGGTAGCCGGTATGGCAGGTACACTGCACTGCCCCCCGCACCATCTGGCACTTCTGGGCACAGCCGCCGTTGTTAACATTGCAGTTCTCTTCACCCGTCCGAGGCCCTGTGCCAGCCAAGCCAGAGATGGGAGTTGAGCCCAGAATCCTCCCCCAGACAGCCAACTTGGCATTCTACCTGGACCACGAAGAACAGCTCCTGAGGCTGCGAGAGTCCCCGGGGAAGATTTTTTTGAACCGTATGGGTGGGGCTCAGCCACCAAGCCCGGGCGGGGCCTCCCACCGGACACTCACGGCAGTGCTGCTGCGGGCTCTCGTCACTGCCGTCCCCACAGTCGTCCACCCCGTTACACAGCTTCCTCTGCCCAATGCAGCGCCCGTTCCAACACAAGAACTGGTCTGAGGCACACTGCGGGCTTCCTAGAGATGGTGGGTGGGCGGGGTGGGGGAGGCAGAGCCAGGTCAGGGCAGGGCAGGGCTTGGGTCAGCCGAAGGAGGGGAGCCTGTCATTTTCTAGGGCAAGCTGGAGACAGATGAGACAAGGTGGGAGGGTCGGGGTCCCGGGCAGGAAACAGCTCAGACAGGGCTGGCTCAGTGTCTGCAGTGTTTTCTCCCCAGGACACCACCCTGGGCCGGCGAGGCCTGTGGGGCAGAGTGAGAGAGTGCATGCTTGCGCCAGGCACCGGGTGGGGCTCAGGGAGCGGGCACAGGGGCATCAGCCACAGAGAGCCAGGCTTGCTCACGAGGCCAGAGCAACAGGCGCTGGCTGTGTGCGCTGGAATGTGTTCCTGGCCCTACCGCTGTGGTTCGATGGATGCACCCCGGATTTGACACTGACGACCAAGATGGCAGGGAAAATCCGAGCCACGGGCCAGAGCTGACTGAAGTATCCCCTGGGCACGTCAGCGGACCGACAGCAGTGAAGCTTCTCTCCATCCCTGCCTGCCACCCCAACTGCAGGCTAAAGGGCCCCCGATGCCCTCGGAGACTGCACCTGTGTTCTCACAGTTCTCTTCATCGCTGTTGTCTGCACAGTCGTCTTCCCCATCGCAACGCCAGGACAGGCGGACGCAGCGGCCAGACCGACAGCGGAACTGCTCCGCCGTACACATAGAGGTGGCTGGGCAGGGCAAAGGTCTAGTGAGGGGGAGGTGCCACCGCAGCCCGCAACTCCACCTGCCGCTGAAGCGCCTCTTGCTGCCGGCGCTCAGCCACCAGCTCGGTGACACCCGTGTCACAGTCGCCATGGCATCTTTGTGCGACTGCAGATAAACGTGTCCTTTCCCCAAGGTGCTTTATAGTCATCTGCTGGAACACTGCCAGGAGGGTCCCTACAGCTAGTTACAGAAGACGCAGTACGTCTGCTACGTGACTGGCCGTCCCTGGGACACAGTGCGTCTGTGCTGTGACCACTGACACCCCTGGACGTGCCCCGTCCAACCAGGCTTCAAACTGTCACAGCGGAGCCTCTCTGAATGCGCAGCCCCTCACCCCTCCGGCAGCCTTCCTCCCACGCGGCCCCCACTCACTACAGTTGCGTTCATCGGACTGGTCGTCACAGTCGGTGTCTCCATCACAGTGCCAGCCTGCGTTGATGCACAGGCCACTGTCGCACATGAACTCCCCGGAGCGGCAGGGCTGGTGGGAGGCTGGAGGGATACAGCACTGTCTCCAGCGGGCCGTGCAGTGCTCCGTGGCGGAGCAGAAAGCCCTGGCCCCGGCATCCTGGCTCCTCTGCCCACGAGGGACCAGGGGTCCAGAGAGGCCTCCCTCATGCCCTTGTCCCAGCTGGCACCTATGCCATGCTCTCCCAGGAGTGGCGCCCAGCCGCCTGCCACCCCCTCGCCACCCCCTCCACCCAGCAGGCCAGGTACTCACAGCAGTCAGACTCGTCCGACCAGTCTCCACAGTCATCGTCGCCGTCACAGTGGTAGATGTCGAGGATGCAGCGGCCGTAGGCACACTGGAACTCCTCCAGGTTGCAGGGGGGTGCTGGCACTGCCGAAGCTGGAAGGGAGGCGACGGTGGGGAGGGGCACGGACCTAGGCCTGGCCGAGGGGGAGGGCCCTGGAGCCTCAAATGCCCACGCAGAGCGCGTTCCTCGAGTGAGGCGTGAGCAGTTTTCCCTCGGGACAACGCTTAGACACCCCATGTTCAGGGGGGCTAGGGAGACCTCCCTTCGCCCCGGAGTACCTACTCCCCAGCTCGCATCGGAGGGCTGAGCGACCGGCCCCTAAACACCCCCCGGCTCTGCCTACTGTCCACGCCCACTGCCCATGGCCCATCCATGCCCCTGTCCATGCACTGCCCAGCCTGGCCGCTGGCCCTCGGCAGGGAGCCCGCTGACCCAGCCTGGCCCGCCAGCCTGTGTCGGGGCCACTCACGACAGCTTTCCTCGTCAGAGCCATCTTTGCAGTCGGTGTCACCGTCACAGTACCAGTGCTCAGCGATGCAGCTCCCGTCGCTACAGCGGAATTCCTTGTCCGAGCACTTGCGCATGTCTGGGGGTTGCGGAGAGACCGCACTCCTGAGGCAACCACCTGCCAGCCTCCCTGACTCCCACCCTCATCACCCCCGGGTCTCCCCAGCTCTGCAAGGCACTACAGTCTCTGGGGAGAGCCTACGCTCTCACGACACTGGCCGCAGGCTCAGGTTTGGCAGTTCGGGGCAGAGGTCTGAACCACCCTGCTCCTGCCACCTGCCTCTGGCTGCTCCAGACCCTTGGGAGCAACTCAAGGATCAAGCAGCCCTAGAGCCACGGCCACTGTCCCCTCCCGCGGCCAGGACAGCCACCAGCCGAGCCGCCTGCCTCCTGGCACCTCCACTCACCACACTGCTCGTCGCTGTTGTCACCGCAGTCATTGTCACCGTCACAGTGCCACAGGCTTCGGATGCAGTAGCCGTTCTGGCAGGGGAACTCATCCTCCTCACACTCCCGGGGCGCTGTGGGCACAGGGCGGTCAGGCCGCTGCAGGCGGTGGGGGGCAGGGCCTGGCCGCTCAGCAGCAGCCGAGGGACCCGAAGGAGGTGGCTGCCTCTCAGGGACTTATCTGCCCAGAGAGGCGGGGAGAGCACAAGACCTAAGGGCTGACGTGGCCTCGCGCCCCCACCCCGGCCCCTCAGCACTCACGACAGTCCTGCTCGTCCGAGTCGTCCTCACAGTCGTTGTCCCCATCGCACACCCAGGAGCGGCGGATGCACTTGCCGTTGTCACAGTGGAAGTCCAGCGGGGAGCAGGTGGGCAGCACTAGTCAGGGAGAAGAAGGGAGAAGGGCATCCATCTGGCAAACTGCCTCGGGCAGCCCGGCGGGGCTGCAGGGCCACCCGCCACCCCTGCGGAGAGACTCCCCGCTGTCCTGTGTGTTAGCCGCCTGGGCCAGTGCAGAAGCTAAGCGGTGAGAGAAGCAGGAAGGAAGCGAGTCTTTGCAGGGGGTGGTGAGTGAGGGGCTGCAGGGGGGACACGCCCAGGAATGCAAAACCACTGAGAAAGCAGCAAGAAGAACACGAGCAAAAAAATTTGTCCACTGGGCCCTCCCTCGTGGTGCAAAGGGTTAAAGTGCAGCACTATGAAGCTATCACAGTCCCTGCAGCACGAGTTCGATCCCTGGCCAGGGAACTGACCCACAGGGCGCAGCAGACCTCTCCTGACCCGCCTGCTGCTCCCCTCAGCAGTGTATTTCAGTCCATCTGCCTATTCTGCTCCCCACTCTGTCTCTGGTGAATCCTCTCACTGCCCCTGCACCTCTGGCCTGTACTCCAGCTCTGTATGCATAAATAAACAAATCTCTTAAAAAAAAGGTATTGAGGGCCCGCCCTGGTGGCGCAGCAGGTTAAAGTGCAGCACTATGAAGCTAAAGCCACTTGGGCATGAGTTCGATCCCTGCCCCGGAGGTGACCACATGGCGAGGCAGACCTCTCCTGACTCGCCTGCTGCTCCCCTTGGCAGTGGACTTCGTCAGTCAGCCTGTTCTGCTCCCCGCTCTGTCTCTGGTGAATCCTCTCACCCCCTGCAGCTCTGGCCTGTACCAGAGGTATTTATGTATGCATAAAGAAATAACTCTTTAAACAAAGTGCTCACCCATCTCCCTTTTCCTCTTGTTAAATGATTGACAAAGCTGGGCTCTGTTCTAGAACTCATTACTTATCGCACCGAACACTGCAGTTACCTTCTCTGAGCTATCGGCTCTTTGAACAATGGAGATAATTATACTGGGCTCACAGACGTCTTTTGAGATAATGTCTATGAAAGTGCTACATGAAAGTGAGCTTTCACCATCATCACAATTAGCTGAAATGGTTATGGTTAATAAGGTCCAAGTTGTAGCTTTATTCTTATTAGGCTAATTAGCCACCCTCAGACACAGGTGCTGTGGGTTAGAGGCTGCACCCCTAAACCCAGACAACTGGCTCGGCAGAGATCCCTATATCTCTATGTCAAGACATCCCAGCCTGCTGTGCATATATCACTACACTTGAGGGGAGTTTTAAAGAGAATTATAAACTTTCTTACAGAGTTTATATAGTAGAAAAGATGAGATCAAGATCACGTAGCATAAACAAACAATGAGAGGAAAATCTGCACCCATGCACAGGCCGCACATTAGGAAACACAAACAAGCAATACAAATACACAAACACGTCTTCCCCCGAATACAGAGAGAAGTATTTCAAGAGACTACCTGTGACTTCAAGAACATTCTTTTTTTTAAAGTTCTATTTATTTATGCATACATAAATACCAGAGGCCTCTGGCTCCTACCAGAGGTGCAGAGAGGTGGGGATGGTGAGAGGATTCACCAGAGACAGAGCGGGGAGCAAAACAGGCCGGTCAACGAAGTACACTGCTGAGGGGAGCAGCGGGCGGGTCAGGAGGGGTCTGCCGCACCATGTGGGTCAGCTCCAGGGCTGGGATCGAACTCAGTGCTGCAGTGGCTGCTGATAGCCTCATGGAGCTGCACTTTAACCCGTTGTGCCACCAGGGAGGGCCCCAGAACGCTTTCTATAGTTGTTTCCAAGTTTGTTTTATTGGTTATAGGTCCATGACCAGACATGGGAGGACTGAAGTCATGTAAAACAAGACTGAAGTCATGTAAAACTTGTCACTACCTGCCACCCTGAGAGTCCCAGCACCTGGCAGCCGATGCACAGCACACGCCATCGCACCTCAGCCCTCGCCCCTGAGGCCCAGGTCCCTCTGCCACCCCGCGCCATGCCGCCACCCCGTCCCGTCCCGTGGGAAGGCTCTTACTGCAGCCGTCCTCGTCACTGTGGTCCCCACAGTCGTTGTCTCCGTCGCACTGCCACTGGGCGGGGATGCAGGTGCACTCGCCCAGGGCACTCACCGCACACGTGAAGTGGCTCCGACCACAGGCACACTCGGGGCTGCTGGCCAGGCCTGGGGGAGGGAAAAGGAATCAGTGAGGGCAGGCTCAGTCCCCACCCTACCAAGCCGGTTCCGAGGGCAGGGTCGAGAGGCCTCATGCAGAGACCCTGTCACCAGGGAGCCCTGGCACTGCAGGGACAGGTGGGCAATGGAACCATCTCTGGCCATCAGCGGTCAAGAGCACACCCTTTGCCTCTTGGTTCATGGAAACCAGCTTCCTTCCCTGCATTGTGTCTCCGGGACACCCAGAGAAAATGACCCCCCTGCCTGGGGGTCAGTGCTCTTGGGAAGACAAGCACAGGGCAGATGGGGTGAGGCACAGAAGCCTCTGTGTCCTTTCTTCCAAAGCTAGGTTCCTGCCTCTGTCCCTGACCAGGCCCTTGAAGATGTTGACCAGGGAGGGCAAGAAATACCAGTGGAATTAAAATGCTGGAGCCCCTTTAGGGAAAAAGAATCTGCACAGGGGATCGGGAAGCAGCGCTGGCTGGTTTGACACCCCTTTCCTTTTTAAAGATTTCTTTATTTGTGCATACAGAACTGAGGTACAGGCCAGAAGTGCAGGGGTGGTGAGAGGATTCACCAGAGACAGAGTGGGGAGCAGGACAGGCAGATGGACGAAGAACACTGCTGAGGGGAGCAGCGGGCGGGTCAGGAGAGGTCTGTTGCGCCACGCGGATCACCTCCACGCCCGGGGATCGAACTCGCGCTGAAGCAGTTGCAGCTGGCTTACAGTGCTGCATCCTAGCTCACTGCACCACCAGGGAGGGCCCATTGAACCCCCTTTTGAGAAAGCTGGCCAGGAAGCCTCAGGAGGCCTTACTCCAAGTCCAGTAGCACAGTTCTCTGCAAGCTTCTCTCCGAGTCTCTCGGGCAGAGCGACTGGGTGCATCAGGGGCCAGGGACAGATCTGTGGGACAGGCCAGCCTGGAGGAAGGACCAGGGGCAGCCCTTCCCCCGCTTCAGCAGCACGCAGTCGGGCTTCTCTGCCCCTGTCGAGCATCAAGCTATCTGCCTGGCCAAGTCCCACGACAGGCTGCTGTGCCCCCGCCCCAGCTTGCCCAGCAGGATGCCCGGGGACAGCGTGTGAATGGCTCAGTGCCCCTGCTCCAGCCTCAGCTGGAACAAAGGGCTCTGCCAGGGTCACTCTCCCCCTCCCAGCCTTCTCTAGCCCGCTGGGCTGCTGCAGCTGGGAAAGAAGGGGCCACCGCTCATAGCTCATCTCTCCCCTGCTTTTTTCTCTTTCCTCCTTTCAGCTGGGCCCTACCCTTGGCAAGGCAGGGGCAGGAAAGAGTCGGTTTCTACATTGCCACCCTCGTCCTGCCCAGTCGCTCCCTCTCAGATCCTCTCCTTGATGTTCATTCTCACCTCACATTGCCATTGAGTATTTAGTCCCCACTGAGTAGTTAGGCCCTGGAATGAAAAGGTATACGGCATCCCCTCCTAAAGCAAGGGGGCGGTCCTAGACCCTCTTCCCCTCCACTTCAACTCCCAGGATCAGTGTATTAGGCAGGGCTTCCTAACCTGCAGATGGATGGGTGTATGGGTGGG